TAATTAACCTTTTGGTTGTTTGTGCAATATTATATATTTTAAATTATAATGCATCTCCCCAGAGTATTTTGTAGCCAGGAAAAGAAAAAAAAAAAGAAAAGAAAAAAAAAAGATTCTAACAGCTGTTAGTTTTATAATTAAAAAGGAACAAAAAAGAACTTTGTCCTGAACCTTTTACAGAGATTTGCCACAACAGCATTAAAAAGATTCAAAAGAAGCCAGAAGGTGTCTGGGGATGTTTCTGTCCCCTTGGCAGCCTCACTGGAGCCTTGAGCAAGGCTCAGGACACCCTGTAAGGGTAGCTTCTTGCCTGGAGTTGGGAGCTTGGGTTGGGAGATAGCCTGGGTCCTGAGGAAGGACCTTGTCTCATCTCAGACCCAACTTGGCCTCTGGTTTGAGGAAGAGACAGGCCCACCAGGCCTCACCAAGACAGAGCCAGGAGGTCATCTGCATCCCCAGTGCTTCTGCTTTTATTTGGAAAGGAAGTTGTAGCAACTGAGTGGTTCCTGTGGGTCACTTTTCTCCTCTCTTCTCCCTGTGTGTGGATGATTTTACAGTCTAATTTAATTAGCTTTAACGAAACACGTTGTCAACCATTAATAAAAGAAAAATCTAAATAAGGGCCTTGGTTCCAGGAAGATCTTTAGAGGAACAATGTCTTGGTGAGAGACCTGTTGGGGCCCATCTGGGGAGTGTGTAAGCAAGCCATGGGATATGGTAACCTAAAGTGTAAAATATATATCACCATCTTAGAAGCGGGTTTTGGGTTTGCTTTCTCCCACTACTTTATTGGGGAGGACTTGCTATTGCTTTTATCAAGTGCTTGCTAGCCATGGGTGCCAACTAACTTCTTCAATTGAAGGCCGGAGTATCATATCTGGTTCCAGGAGCCGCTTCAGCAGGTCCTGGCATTCAGTTGAGATGCCCAGATGAGTGGGGAAGGATACCCCCTTCTGCTGCTGCCACAGCATCTTGGGGATATCTGTGTCATCAAAAGGTAGGCTTGCGCAGAGCATTACATACAGGACCACACCCATGCTCCAGACATCACCTTTCTTGCTATCGTGAGGAATACCCTGTAGCACCTCGGGGGCGGCATAGGCTGTGCTGCCACAGAAGGTCTGGCTCAGCTCCCTGCATGACTTTGGTAGCACCTTGGCAAAGCCAAAGTCAGTCAGCTTCAGGTTGAAGCCCTGCAACAAGGCGTTCTCACACTTAAGGTCCCGGTGGGCCACGCCACAGCCATGGCAGTAGCGGATGGCCTCAACCATCTGGCGGAAGAGGGCCTTGGCCCGGCTCTCGGGAAGTGGCCCCCCATTGAGCACGCAGTCAAAGACGTCCCCTCCCTCAGCCAGTTCCATCACCAGGTAGATGTTCCCATCTTCCGACTCCAGCATCTCATACACCTGGATGATGTTTTTGTGGTCCAGAGTATGGACAATCTGGAGCTCCCGAGGCAGGAATCTCTGGATAAACTCTGAAGAAACAAGTAGAGGAGAGATGGGCTACTACGATAAGAAGGGCCTAACTCCTGCTTATCTGGACACCTGCCACATCTGGGTGTCCTTCCTTGGCTCCCTTGATAGTCTCAAGTGTTTCTAGCAACTTGAAACTTCAAATATTCCCACAGCACTGGAACTACAACCTCAACATCCACTGTGCAGTGTGAGAGACTACAGACACCAGGGTACTTGGGAACTTTATAGACAAACCTGTTGACTCTCAGGAGGCCTGATTTGCCCACAAGGTGGAGCACCAGGGCCTTCCACCCCCGGCTACCTCACCTGAAGTTCTTTCCAGGAGCCCTGTCTTCCTCCTGCCCTCTACTAGCCATCCCCTCTTGGATCAGAAAAGCTTATGTTTCTGTTTTGTTTTTTGAAACAGGGTCTCCCCATGGCCCCAGCTGGCCTGGAACTCACTATGTAGCCAGGCTGGCCTCCATCTCAGAGATCTGTCGGCCTCTCAAATGCTGGGAGGCAATAAAGGCATATACCACCATGTGGTTCTTCAATACTGGATTTAGAAAGATGCAATACTCTTATACTCTCTACATCCCCCTCTTTCCTTACCTACCTCAGGGTAGTAATCTGGCTAGTTTTCTGACTGAAGGAAGCACCTACCCACCCTGGCCAGCCCACCCCTTTCTCCAAAGGGGCCCCAGCTCACCTTCTGGCCCTCCCATCTTGTCTATAATTTTAATTGCCACTTTTCTTTGATGTTTTTTGGAAAATGCTTCTTTGACTTTTGAGTAGGTCCCTTCCCCAATGGTCTTGCCCAGCTGGTACCCATTGGAGAGTAGAAAGTCCTCCATGCTGTGTAGCGCCTCCTCCTATCGCCCTTTCAGCTCATGCTGCCTCTGTGAGGCAGCGCTACTCCACCATCACCCTTGGCATGCTTCTTCCCCCCCCCCAAGGACTTCATCCACAGCTGCCTCCAGGGCTAGAACATTCTTCGTCTGGACACAGCCACAGGTGGTGGGGAGGGAGAGGACTAGACATTTTGAACCTCCTGCCCAATTGTGATGTAAATGGTGTGTGACCCTCAGCCAAAATGAGCCCTACCTTCCCTCACCACCAGCAGCAAAGCCAGCTTGAATTGTCATTCCTGACCGAGGTAGTGCCAGGGCAAGCGCCAGGCTGCAGAGATGCAGGCCTCCTCCACGTGGGCTCCGCTTACAGGCGGGTCACCCAGTGTCCTGCGTCCCCATCCAGCTGCTTGCTGGCGGGCCCTGCGACCGGGTCACGAAGGCATGGCGGCCAGAGCCCGCAAGCTCCAGGCTCGGGCCCTTAATAAGTGACCGAACGGCGGGGGAGGGTCCAGAGTTCCACGGAGGAACAGGCAGTGTGAGGTCAGCGCACCGGAGCCCGGGTCACAATGCAGCCCTCCCCTTCGACGCTGCAGCCGGGGCATGCAGCAGACACCTGCCAGGCTTCGCCTGGACCGAAGCGTCCTCCCGCGGCCAGGGCTTGGGCAGTTGCTTCCAGCCTGGGACCGGCCTCGGCCTCCGGCAGGTGAGCCACCACCTGGGGGAGCGGGGGGTCCCCCCGCAGCGGCCTGACCGCCACTCCCCGCGCAGAGCGCCCCGGGGCCTGGACATGAGTGACCAGGAGACCCCACAGGGTCGAAGATTCCCCATTGAGGCCGGAGACTCCCCTGGCCTTGCCGACACCCCCGAGTCCCAGGACAGCCGGGAGCCCAGAGCTACTGAACACAACCGGGTCAGGTGAGACCGCCGCCCCGTCCCGCCCCTCGCCAGGCCCCGCCCCAGAGGACCCCCGGGTGCGCCCCTGCACTGTGCTCCCGGCCGCCGCCTCAGCGCCCCTGTCGCCTGCGCTCTCGCCAGGCCGCTTCGACGCTGCCCGGGCTGCCACTGTCTGACGCTGCTGCACGTGCCCATCGACGTCTACCTGGCCATGGGCGGGAGCCCCCGGGCCCGTGCCACCTGAGTGCTCCGCAAGAGCCGGGCGGGACGAGGTCAGCCGCGGGCCACCACGTTGAGGTCGCACGCGCCGAGCACGAGACAGTGATGCACATTTTTAAATAAAAGAATGATGCACATTTTAATAAAGCACAGCATAAACTGTTCTTTCCACTACGGGCTAGCCTTGTATGTCTATCCGTCGGGTGCTCGGTTCCATCCAGTGACACCTCCTCCCCTGTGACCCAGCCTAGCCCCTCCTCCCTTCCTGGCCCACCTTCCTCTAGGCCACCACCCTCTTCCCTTGTGTTTCCCGCTGGACATCAATGACCCTTTCCTTTCCCCATTGCCCCGCAGAATTTTCGCTGTTACTCATCTCCCTTTACCTGTTATGAGTTCGCCAGTGAAATTCTCATTGCTCTGCTAGACAATGGCGGCTCACAGAAGCTTGGGATTGGAGCAAGAGAGGGAAAAGTGGGCAGACGATGTAGAAGGAAAAAAAAAAAACACTCTTCACACCAAGCCCATGTAATTCTCCTAAGCTAGAATGGATTCTGCTCCCCGCGGTTCTGTGACCCTGTTTGTAGGGTCAGGGGATGATGCACCGGTCTGTTTGGAGATTTGATTTCTGGCAGGATCACAGAAAGATTAAGAAAATTGTTTGCGGGCTGGAGAGAGGGCTCAACCGTTGGGTTAAGAGCACAGACTGCTCTTGCAGAGGACCCAAGTTGGGTTCCCACTACCCACATGGTGGCTAACAACCATCTGTAACTCCAGTTCCAGGGGACCCTGATGCCCTCTGCTGACCTTCACAAGGATTTCATGACACGGGTACAGAGGCCCTCTTCTGACCTCCACAGCATTACAACAACACAGGTGCACTCACATATATGCAGGCAATACACTCATACACATAAAAATAATAAAATATTTTTTAAATTTAAAGACCTTTTTTAAGCCAGGCATGGTGGCGCACACCTTTAATCCTAGCACTTGGGAGGCAGAGGCAGGTGGATCTCTGTGAGTTCAAGGCCAGCCTGGTCTACATAGTGAGTTCCAGGACAGCTGGGGCTACAGGGAGACCCTGTCTCAAAAAGACCAAAAAAAAAAAAAGAAAAAAGAAAAACCTTTTTTAAACAATTGAAGGTGTTTATGCCCCAGATGATGGCAAGAGATGTGCTTCTGTGTATAAAGCAAAAAGCAACACTGACTCCTAGTGGCAAACTAAATGAAACCAAAGGAATATGGGGAAAGGTAACTCCAAGCTGTCCTTGAACTCAGTATGTAGCTGGTCTGGAACTCCTAGAGAGTACTGGGGTCATAAGTCTGTGCCACTGGCATGTACCACTATACCCAATTTTTATTCAGTGCTGGGAATCCAACCCCAGTATTTGTATCTGCTAGGCAAGCACTCTACCAACCCCACCCCCCACCCCTTTTTTTAGAAAAGATGTGGTCTTGCCAGGCATGGTAGCATATGCCTTTAGTCCCAGTGCTAGGAAGCAGAAGCAGGTGGATCTCTCTAAGTTTAAGGCCAGCCTGATCTACATAGTGAGTTCCAGGCCAGCTGGGGCTAAGGGGAGGGGGGGGTAAGGGGGAACCCTTCTTAAGAAAAAAAAAAAAAAAAAAAAAAAAAATACTGGTCTATGTAGCACAGGAATTTAAGATCTTCCCTCCTCCCCCACGTCCATCTTCCACAGGCTGGGATTACAGTGAACCACCACGCCCACTAAAACATCCTTGATTGCCACGCAAAATGGTCTACCCAACAGTCTCAGAATGCTGGACTGCAGACTCAGCCAAGTCCCCAAACATTGAATCCTTCCCATGTCCCCACCCACCCCCCACCCCGTTTCCTCTTATCTCTTGGACTTCCTTCTCCACTCCCTCTTCTCAGCCCCCTTTTCCTTTAAAAATACAACTAAAATTATAAAATAAACACTTCTGTCGCCTCCTACATGCTTGGTTTGTGAAGGAGGCAGATTTCAGGCACCAACCTTGGAAATGGGTCAGACCGTGGGGCTAATTAGCTCCAGAATGTTGGTGAGCCAGGGAAAGGGCATTCCTGGTGGAGGGGATAGTGTGGAGAGGATCCCAGGCAGGGAGGAGGAGGGAAGGTCAGAGAATTCAGTTTTCACTGACTGGAACAGGGCTTTATCTCACCTAGAGTCCACAACTAAATCAGAGGATCCAGGGAAAGTTAGGAGTGAAGCTAGTTCAAGGAAGCCCAGAGGCCCAAGCTGAGGTGTCCATCTGCTGTGCAGATGCCACACTCCATTCTCTAGTTTCTCTTTTCTTCCATCCTTTCCTTTCCTCTTTCTGCCCTGAAAACTCGAGTTCGAATTCTGTCTCTGCCATTCACTAACTCTACAACCCTGGGGTAAGTCTAAACCTCTCTGAGCCACTACCTCCGTATCTGGCAAAGGGGGCTTACGTCACCTTCTGCAGGGTTTTGGTAAAGCCATGCCTGAACAGTTGCAGACAGGAGGCCCATACTCAGCCAGCTCCTGAACAAGGGAGCTGAAATTGCTTCTTTGACCTTTGAGTTCAAGGGGCAACAGACAGCCCCACAGCTGAGGACAGTGTCTGCAGTCTGCCGAGGGCTGGGGAAACCCTCCTACTTAACTCTGCCAACTTCCCAGTGTTTCTGAACAGGAACCTAGGAACTTAGGGGAGGGGGCTTTTTCAGAAGAATCCCCAGGTTAGAAATGTAGAGCTGCTGCCTTCACTCTCAAAGGTAAAGCTGGCTCTAGGCTCCAGTGTGGGACCTCCAGGGCCCAGCCTTTGGGGCCTGAGGCAGGAAAAGGAGCCCAGGGAAAGGAGATACTCCAATCACTGCCTTCTCTGACTCTCTCTCAGGCGTCTTATTAGCTGGCCCCTCCCTAAGGGACCCCCTTTTAGAAGGAGGGGGCGAAATACAGATGGACCCCCCAGGTTTCCATGGAGATGGCAGGGAAAGGGTTGCTGTATCACCATGGCAACAATTGACGTCAGCACTATTTCCCATTGCTTGATATGAGAGGGGGACAGCCACCCCAAGCACAAGCAAATCCCCCACAAAGCCTCCTCCCCTTGCTAAGCCAATCAACTGAAGGGTGGACAGGCTTAATATAGCATAGGAGGTAAAAAGCACAGGCTCTGATGTCAGTCAAACCTCGGTTCAAATCCCTGCTCTGCCTCATCTTAGCTGTGGGAATCTGAGAAGATTCCTTAACCCCTTCAAGCCTTATAGGTAGGCTGTGGATAAGCCAGCCTCTGGGTCTCCAGGAGGAGCAGGTCACAGACATTGGGCAGCCCATGGGAAGTGTACAATGAAATGAGCTTTACCACCTTGGGATCTGTCAGGGAGTTGTCCCTGCAGATTTAGGCTCAGCCCCTAGAGAGGGCCCCAGTACTTCTATGGACCGGGCCCCAGGGTTTGAAGATCTCAGGATATGGGGTCTTGGGGCAGAGCCAATGCCACTGGAATTTCCAGGCTCTGAGGAAACTCCAGATGTCACTTTCCCTAAACCACCCCCCATCATATCCAGGCTCTGACCCAACTTCCTCTTTCTCCTCCCCTATGCCTTATATTAGGCTTTGTCAGCAGCCTTCGCAACCCCCTGAGCCTCCATCCTCCTGAGCGTCCATCTGCTCCTCTAGAAAAAGAATAGATAAGGGAACATAGGTGGACAATCATACACCAGGTAGAACAGGCTGGACACCACAGGGGAATGATACTCCCCATGACTGCCCCCTCCCTACCCACCACTCGGGTCTCATTCCCTCCGTCTACCCAGTCCAGGCAACCATGGTTCATCCTGTCCCACATCTGTTGCCACTATCTTGAGACCCCATCACTAGCCATCCAGACTCCATGAGCCCCCCAACCGGTCTCTCAGCTTCCCGTCCACATTCCTCCAGACCACAGTCCAGTGGCATTGCTCCTACTTAAATCTCTTCAGTGGCTTTGTGTGGCTTGTCCAGCCAGTGAGTACCATACAGCTCCTCACAGAGCATTCTTCCCTTTTGCACATGGACCTTCTGCCTCGAATGGCTTCCCTCAGAACCCCATTTACTCTTCATGTCTTCAACCAGTTCTCAGGGAAGGCTACCCTGACCATCTAGCCCATCCAGAATACCTGCTTGTCCCATGTGTTGACCTGTTTTGGAAGGGGACTCCTGGCTGTGCTATGGGGACAGATTGATGGTGGCAGCAAGGAGATAGGAGGATGCTGCAGCCCTCCAGGGGATGAGCCCTTGAGCCAAGTATAGGCAGTGTTAAGTGGAGAGAAGCAACAGAGATGTTAGATCTATCCCGGAGAACCCAGGTCTTCCTAGGTGCTTGAATATGAAAAGGTAAAAACAGGGCAGGGTCTAGGACCAAGGATGGAGGCTGGGGAGATGGCTTAGCAGATAAGAGCCTTTGTTGCCTAAATATGAGGGCCTGTGTTCAAATTTCCAGCACCCACATAAAAAGCTGGGTGTGGCCACCCACTTCCCGGTAAACTCCCCCCCACACACATACTCTGCAGGGGAATGCAGGGACAGGAGGATCGCTAGAGCTTGCTGGTCACCAGCCTAGTCCCAGGTTCAGTGAGAGACCCTGTCTCAAGGGATCTCAAGGGAATAAGGCAGAGCATGATCAAACAGGATACCCAGTGTCCTCTGGCCTCCACATGTGCACACAAGTGCATACACTAGAGTACACACACCACACACAATAATAATCATTTAAAAAATCAGACCCAAGCCTAGATTTTTGGTTCAAGCAACCAGAAAATGGGCAAAGTAGGAACATGGGAGGGAGGACATAACTGCTCCAAGGTGGGAGCAAGGCCACTGCTATGAAATCCCTGGAAGCTTCCAGGAGGCCAGTGGGGTGGGAGAGAGGCTGGGACACAGCAGTGCCTCTGATGCCCACTGAAGGCATGGGAACCCAGGAGACTCCTAAACAGGGATTGTAGAGTGTCCAGGAATGGCCACAATGAGACAGCAGGCAGAGGCTAAGGAACCCTCCCTGCCCACACCTCAGCCGGGCTGCTAAGACAGCAAGAAAATCAAGGGTGCAGTGTTCCAAAAACAAGGGTCCCAAAGCATCTCAAATGGGAAGGATGTTCTGACTATGTCAAAGTCAGCCACTGCTCCTGGGGGGTGGGGGTCAAGTCAGATAAAGCCTCCAAGCATCCCTTGGA